CAAGCATCCTCCCTCCCGTGCATCACAAATAATCGCACTTCTCGTAATTTGACTGCGCGACCTTCCTTCATGATTATTTCTCACTCCTGTTTTTCATCTTTTAGCGAAAGACGATGATGAGCTGGCTGCCATTCACCTGCTCCAATTGGTTCTTGGTTGTGCGGTCAATTGTGAGGCAAAAGAGACTTATATCGAGGCTATAATGGGTATGGAAGAATCTGTACAACAATCGTTGATGGAAGCCATTCAACTGGTAAGTTTCTCTCTTTGTGTGGGTGTGCGGTCATGCGCATCTCTAGAATAATTTAATTTGATCACAATTGGACCAGCTCTTCGCTTCTCCCATGAGCTTTTGGATTCCCACCAATCTTGGTGTACAAATATTGACCCAAGCGACAATAGGCTGCAGCTGTTGCACCCATGTTGAACAATCCACCTGGCTCGTTTGGTCTCGGTTACGTTTTTAAGCCCTTTTTCTTTAAACTATCAGATCTAGGGCCTTGACGATATGAATCATGTTTTTGAACAAGTCGTTTGTAGTTTTTGTTTTGTCAGCTTTTCGTTTGAAGGAGTTAACGATCATCGTGATTGGCTATCGTAAGAGATGTATTTCATGAAGCGACTTACGAACCTGCCTGGTGTGAATGTGATTCACAAGTGAGTAAGTGGACTACAAACGGTGTCGTATTATACAGGTAAGTATGCATTAACTTTTGCTGGAGGCGAAAAAAATTCACTTTGCTGCAAAAGTTGCATGTGAATATTAGTTAGGTAGATCTGCTCTGCATCAGTCGTGAGTTGAGCAAGCGCGCCGTTCGTACTGCCGAAATAAGCTGGGTCTATTCAAGATAAATGGGATTGGTGTGTGTGTGGGGGNGGGGGGGGGGGTGGCTGGCGAGTAGAAAGCTATTACATGAACCAGGATTAAGGAATCGTTCTCCGCTGCCAGATGTTCTACGCACGCCACTCGTCATTATCCTCATTTCTATATACGCCTCAGAAATTCATCGGTAAGATGTGAGTGACCGAGTCACACTTGCCCCCCTAAATTCGTTTCTGCTTTGGTTCGACTGTGTGGCCCCCTCCCTTGCCTTATTCAGACCTGCTTACTAGTTCTGGAAATCCACCCCCATCCCAGATTGTGCGCCATACCTGACGATGCATTTTCAGTCCGAATCGCAAGTACAACTAAAAGTGCACCGTTACAGTCTTTTGAAAAATGTAACTTTCTATCAAGGTTACGGCGTCAGGGGATCGAATGGATTAGCTTTGCCCATTCTTTATCTAGCCTTGTGTTTACATAAGCGCTCAAATCAGTTCCTGAATACTTGTCGATTTGCAAGCATTTGCATAATGTAGCAACCAACGAGCTGTATCGATATCTCTGGGAATGCTTGTCATCGTCCATTCTCCCCGGGTTCTCGTGTGGCTCCCAGTTTCAAGAGTTTAGGTTGCCGTTTTTTCTCGAGACCACAGCGTTCCAATCTTTCAACTGTTCACTGCACCGAGTCCCATTAGAATTAATCTTTTATTGTATCGGGCGACAACGATATTGTTTCTCGCCAGGACCTTATCGGTTGTTGGAGGTTTTAGATAATGTGGCTCTGTTGCAAACATTTGTACCCAGAAAATCCGCTCATTTTCCCCTAAGCAGCTCGTTGATCATCGCCCATGAGTGTTATTTTCCCTTTCATTTTTTTATTTAATAGTCAGCAACTTGGGCTGTCACTATATATCAATCGAGAATCAGAGTACAGAGATAATGATCGAACCAAACCAACTCCATCGAGTTGTCTCGAACCCGGGGTAAAGTATTTTTTTTTGGTGGGGGCGGAGGGGGCAGCTCCTGTAGCTGGTCATCGAGGGCACCGAATATACCAATTAACGTTCTTGTTTCCTTATCTCCTTACAAAGAACGAACTAGTTACGTAAACATCTTGAACCATGGCCGCTTTGTTTCATACCAACTCAGATTCCATTCAAAAGGACTGCTTCAATCAAACGGCAGCACCACATCTTGAACTGAAGTTATCTGGAAACTGTGATCTTAGAACGCGCCAAATCGACCTAACCTGGTTCCTTTCTAAACTACAGATTCAGCTTAGAAAATGGAGCTAGCCAAATCCGGTGTGGTAAAATAATCACTTTCCAAAGGGTTCGTCTACACAGGTTTTTAACGATTGGGCGTCGACTCATTTGTGAAAGGGATTATGAATTTAAATGAGTCATCAACACCTTCAAACTGTTTATAATCACCATTCTCTGTTGGCTACCCCTCTCTTCCATTCCGCACTCCGAAACCTGTGACAATACTGTTCACATGTGGTTTGGGCTTGTGAATGTGTCAGTCAAACCTTCACTCTTTGATAAATCAGGGCCCATGTAATTACTTCTTTATGGTCCGGTGAACTCTTCGCAAATTGTCTTTCAAATCAATGCGTAGAAATTGGGCTGAGGTGTCTCTTTGGTCTATTTATTTTGATTGAATCTTATCCTCCCCGTGTTCAATTAGTCTTGTAGACTTGATTCGGCTTCTGATCGCGCTTCTGTTTTCATGGCGCGAAGAAACAGACTCAGTTCAACAGCGGTGCTTCAGAGCCTTGCTACTCAGCTCCCTCCCACCCCCTCAACTTCTGCAAAGATGATGGATACCTGTCTGTTCGCACTCTCTCGTGCGCTATCCAGCTACTGTGACTGCAAATCAGTCACAAGCACATACGTCTAATTGGACACATTAGATCTTGATGACAAACATGCGGTGATCCGGATCCTCCCGGTCAGATGACCTTTGTTCGACTGAAGGACTATGCCACAAACATTTAAATGTGCACGGGCTAGCAGACGAAACCATGACGATGATTATTCGTCTCCCTTCTCACTCCATTGGAACGCGTGTTCTAATTTTCTTCTGCGTAGAGTGATGCACCACTGAGTTGTTCACCTGGCAAAGGGAATAATCCTGAGGTGTATTACTACTGTTAAGCTAATCGAACAACACAAGCATCAAAGTACGAATCGGTGCAATCGCTTAGCCGTTGTCGTGATCATTCTGTTTTCCAGCCAATGACTTCAACAGTACCTCTGTATCGAAAGGTAGACTGTGGTGAAGCTAACTTTACTAATTGTTTCCAAACCAGGCGTAGTTTAGCACAGACACCCACTGTGTTTCTGTCTAATGAAAATGGGAATTAGGGCACAACTACCGTCCCCAGCCAACCGCTTTTGGTGTCTTTTCATTCCCGGTCTATAGATGGCGAGCATCACCCATTTTGGTTCGCTCATCAATGTAATCTATGCGTCATTTATTGATCTTCAAGTGCTACCCTCCACTCCTAAAAGATAATTACGCACAACACGCTGGACGATTGTCACACGCTTCTGAGTTCAGACTGTATGCCCTAACCGGTGAAGCCCATTCCATCAACAACGTTCTCACATTGAGGATGGCTTATTCACTTCGGTACTGCTAAGCCTGCTCGTTCTATTCCACTTGGGCCCACCACACGGATATGGAAAACCGCAAGTTGGTCGATGTCTTTCGCACGCAAACTAAAGTTCTCACGGTCATCATACACAAATGACCGTATTGGGGCACAGTAATCACGAGGTTTTAGAGTTAGTGTAGTTCCAAGTTTGGTGCAATTCGGACTTTGTGATTGAGACCGTCTGTGTTATTCATTCATTCATTCATCGCCAAAATACGAAGCCTGATTTCATTAGTAAGCTGACATCAAGGCTTTATCTATTGTCACATTTTTTCTCGCTTCTTCCCTCTCTGTGCTTGATAAAACTCCGTCGATCTATTTGTTCAAATAATCTCATCCGATAAACGACAAACAGGTATACAAAAGGGAGTCGCCCGAGTGCCCGCATGCTTGTTAAGGAGCTAAATGTTTGTAGTAGAGATGTGTGCTGCTCTCCTTACAGAGAGAGAGCGAGAAACGCGTTTCTCGAGAAAGGACCGAATCGCCCGTACATATACTACGCAATAATTCACTTCTATACTGGTACACACCCACAGCCCGCTTGTAGCAAACCAGGGCACCAAATTGATCGAGTATGACTAGAATTTCTCACGCACGAACACGTGTAATTCAAAAATTGCACACGGGAAATTTGTCGTACTACTATACAGACAAATCGCATTCCGATTTTAGCGGAAATTGACACAAACAGCAAAATTCTTTCTCCCAACGATTTAGTTCATATCGACCGAGGCATACCATGGTTTTGTCTGTCAACTCTGAACTCACCGGACTACCGTGAACAAATGCGCAACTCAGGATCTTCCTAGTCAGTCAATCAGTGAGTCATTCTTGGAATACAAAAACAAGGGCATTTGTTATTTAAGTATTTTTTAACTTTGATCACACACAGGGGAACGCAGCAGGAGTATATCGGTAGTTTAGACATATCGAAAACAAGTGGCATGCTTTGATCGTTCTGTTCCATTCACTAATTCAGTATTGTGCCCATAGACCTCATTGCCCCCTCTTATGCATTCTGTTACACATCGTAGAATGTATGCGTTCAATTACTCCGGGTGGTGGGAATATCACCGAAGTATCAACCCGGTATTGTGTGTTCGAATCCCAACACCACCACTTAACTTTCCCCATTGTGTGTTGAATGGCAGCCCTTTGGTTGGCCGCTTCCTCCTTCCTGAAAATTGTATCTTTCTTTATTCAATAAAAGGAAGTAAAATGAAAAGAAAAAAGCAAGAACCCATTTTACTTGCTTGAATTGCTCATCCGCCATCTCATTATCTGAAAAACAGGTCGGATGTATGAATGTGTCAATGTAGTACGGGCGCATGCGGTAGCTCTTTCCAACTTCGTTATCTTCCCGCTGAATGGACTCCTCTTTCGTAACACCGATCGTACTTTTTAGCCACATAGTATCCGATACGTAAGTACTCGCCCATGCATATGCACATTAGTGTGTGCGTGTCTATTTGTTTGTGTTTGAAGGTGTCTGTGTGTGTGTACGCGCGCCAGTGCATGAGCTGTCTGATGAGCGACTGACAAACGGTATCGGTTGCTTTTTGTTTCACTGGTTCACACACTCTTTGTGTACGTGTGTTCGTTAATTAGCTCCTTGTCGGTGTACTGATCACCTCGATCATGGACTCGTTAGGCCGTCATTCTTAACCCCCCATCGGTGTCCTCTGTTTACACGCTAACCCGTTCCATTTTTGTTGCGTCATCCTGTTTTTGGTGATTCAGATAGTCGTATACCCCTTTCCCTCCAAGT